GAGAGAGAGAGAGAGAGAGAGAGAGAGAGAGAGAGAGAGAGAGAGAGAGAGAGACGATAACTCTCCGACCTCGCGGCTCGCGCCATGCTGCTTCCATCGATAGGATGAGCAACATCCAATGAATCTTCGGCTAGAACATGGAAACATACACTCCCCGGTTGAATTTTCATTACGGAATGGTGCATCACGCGCAGTCCCGCGGCCACGAAACACAGCACCGGCATCACGCGAGGCCGGCCGTGATCCACCCTCTGCAACCAGAATGCGGCACAGGGCGTTACGGTGGGCCCATTGCAGTTTTTGTAAGGTATATATATCGTCAAATAGAACTGCCCGGTAAACCGTAGGCAGAGAGGGAGAAGAGGACAACAAACGAGGGGCTGTGACAAACTGTTTCGTCGGAGTTTCACCGACTCGTCAGGAGGCTGAATATATATATATATATATATATATATCGTCAAATAGAACTGCCCGGTAAACCGTAGGCAGAGAGGGAGAAGAGGACATATATATATGGTTGCCAGGGCGAACGTACGGAGGCCTCTTAGCGTACTCCCGAACGTTCCGGCGTTCGGGTCCCCGCACGAGGCTCGAACCTGAAGGGGTTCGGACCCCGTAAAAAAATATTTTGGCACCTACATATTATTATTTTTTTCTGAATGTTTTTTTGTGAGGTCTTTGTAGTGTAAGGTATCTCCCTCTCAATTTTGAAGCCATTCTGTTCTGCCAAAAAAAACATGAAAAATCAGCAAAGATGGTGGTGTCAAAACTTGCTTGCCCACTCACTAATTTATTTTTTCTCTCTTTTCACTTTTTGTTTTTCCTTTATTTCCGGGCATGAAAAAGATTATTATATTTTTAAAATTTATTTGTAGATACTCTATTATGTAAGATACACATATATAATTTTTCATGGCATTTGTCACAGCCAAAAAAGAAAGAAAAACTGCCAAAGATGACGGTGTCAAAAACGTGCTCGCCCACTCGGTAATTTCTTTCTCGTTTTTTTTTTTCTTTCTAATTTAGTAATGAAATGGACAACAATTGAAACCGGATACAAGGCCTGCCTATGCTGCGATGCTCAGTAGACTCCTGCACCAAGAGTCAAGAATCTATCATCTTGAATCTTCTTATGCAGAAGACTCATCATTTTCATTATCATTTTTTTTTAGTATTTGATTTTTATTTCAAATTTGGTAAAGAATTTGGATGTAACATTGAGGCAAATGTTATTTCGTTTCTTCTGCGTAACATATATTTTTTTCAGATTTTTTTCATTTTTATTTATTATTATTTTTTGGGGGGTCTGCGTTCAGCCAAACGGCCGAACGTGTCGAGAGGGGGTGCCGAATGTTTGGGCGTTCGGCCCGTCCCGAACGCTGGAAATCCTATATATTATTATATTTTATTATTATTAATATCAGGGTTACCTGACTGAACATTCGGGGCCCCCCGGGCTGGCTCTGCTAAGCCAAAAAAACATTAAAAATCGTCAAAGATGGGGGTGTCAAAACGTGCTCGCCCACTCACTATTTTGTTTTTTTTCATTTTTAACTTTTTGTTTTCACTTTATTTCGGGGCCTAAAAAAAATTATTATGTTTTGAAAATTTTTTTAACGAGTTATTGATTATGTAAAATACATATCTGTAAATTTTCAGGGCATTTGTCAATGCCAAAAAATAATTAAAAATC